ATAGAATAAAATTGTTTTTACGAAGTTATTTCACTTTTACCATTCGACTGCTTGTCAAGTTATGAAAAGATAATGTACATTTCGCAAAGGTCGTATCAGGTTCAGGTATATTAAAACAGGCGACATGAACAGGTGAAATTCATTGAAAAGTAAACGAGGGGGATTGAGACCGACCAAATGCTTGAGTATCGTTGAAGTGAGTACAACGTTTGACGGAAAATGAAGAAAATAACAGACTTTTATGCAAAGAAATCAGGTAAGTTCGTGGTTCTTTTTCAAAAGAAGTAGTTTAATTTAATTCTATAACACCAAAAACTGTTTTCAACAGCCAGCATCCTCGACATACCGTGTAATTAATAAACAAAGTGCATACGTTTTCCATCACGCCGCCATCTTGCCAACTGGCTGGCGAGATAATCATTCCTTTCAAATATAAACATTTCGCAGATTCAGCGACTGACGAATCAGGGTCTGAAGAATCTGCGAGTAATAATGAAGGTATTAACGAAGGTAAGCAGAAATAAAATTGTCATTAAACCGAGGCAGATACATTAAAATTTATCATGATATTATGACTTAATTAATACTTCTCTAAATGAACTGTCATGATAAATACAGAAAGAAGCTGTTCTGCTCCTCCGAACAAGTTGCCAAAACTCAGCAACCCGGCCGATCAAGCTGGAGTGTCCGGGATCGAAGGTAGAAAATTCTAATTTTTTTTTTTATCTGAATGTTAAACTTATATTGACCAGTCCGAGAAAAAAAGTATTTATTCAAATGATGCAAGAAGTCTGGAGAATTCCAAGTAAAACTGACTAGTATTAATTTCGTTTTGTACACAGCTTTGCCTGATGAGGTATTGGTCGAGGTGTTTAAAAACTTCTCCCTTAAAGAAATGCTTAAAACATTGTGCCTGGTCTCACGAAGGTGGAGGGAGGCACATTGTAAACAATAACAACATTCTGTGGAGTTGCCTCCTTCTTGATGAGTGGCACATGACATATTTAAGTGAAGAACAATTTATGAACATCATGTCACACTCCAGTGGGTTCAGATATTTATCCATAAGATATATCGTAATGACAACATCCGAAATGAGGCTGGAAGCATTACTAGGAAATAGTATAGAATTTTCTAAACATTTGAGATATTTGGATTTAAGTGGACAACCGATATCATCCCTTAATTTCCTATTGATTGAGTCCTCTCCTCTTGAAACCTTGATCCTTAATGACTGTCAAAAAATGGATACCTGTTGTTGTACTGCTATTTTAAAGCAATTAAGAAATCTTAGAATATTATCGCTCAACTGAGTAGGATTCACTGCCAATCAAGTGGCAACAATTACTGCCTCTTTATGCTTATTGAATGTTCTGTGCCTGGTTGGTGTAAGCCTTGTGAGGGAAGACATAAGACTGATTTTGCAAAAATTGAATCACCTTCAGTTTTTTGAAATGTCTTGCAGTTCTGAAGATAAAGAACATATCTATGCTCTAGGGGAAGAATATGACGTTAGTTTTGTTTGCCGCTAAGAGTAAAAGTATGTTATATAACACGGTGGCATAACAGTGTTGTGTTATAGAAAATAGTTTATTATAACATTTACTGAAGGTCTAACCAAGACATTTTGTATCAGCAGGCTATGGTATTTTTTTTTTTAATTTGTGTGTATGACAACTTCAAATATTGTCAATTGAAATTTTGTCAAATAAAAAGTATGTGTGTTCAATTTTTATTGAGGTTATTTGAAGTAGGTAAGGGACTAACATATTAGGGGTTATGAATGTATACAAATAGTTGTTTTTATAAATTTTAGATGTAGTTACAAAAGGCCCTGTGGCTGCCACTTCTGGCTCAACCACAGGCACAAAGATCGATATGGGTACTGTTGTGAAAGCTGCTGAAGGCTCGTGGGGTGTTTTGAAGCGATTATCGCAGGAAATTACAGATGAAAAAAGAATGCAATACCTTACGTTTCACTGGAAGCCTTCTGAGTCCGATATACTTCATTCTCATCAAGTTACCAAAGGAAAGAAGACGTGGAAAGTTTCTTTTCAATCCCAATGGCTAAAACAGTTTCCCTGGCTTTGCTACAGTAACTTACTTGAAGGTGGTATTTGTAGTCACTGTATCTTATTCCCTCACAAAGTTACCAAGGGAACAACACCAGGTGTATTGGTCACAGCACCATACCAGAAATCGTACACTAAGGCACTTGGCAAGGATGGCATCCTCAACTGTCATGAGCAATCTGTGATGCATAAATATGCAACTGAACAGGCAGACCTCTTCAAACAAACTTTTGAGAATCCTGACAGGTGTAGAGTAGATTCCCAGCTGGCCACTGAGAACAAAGAAATTCTACGACAGATTGTTTTGGCTGTAGAGTTTCTGGCAAAGCAGAGTCTGACCTTTAGAGGTCATCGTGATGATCGTGTTGATTTTTCTAGTTATGAAATTAACAGAGGAAACTTTGTTGCCCTGCTATAATTACTGGCGAAAGGAAACGACTCTCTTCAGAAGCACCTCTTGTCATCAAACAGACAAGCAAGATATACTAGCAAAACTATCCAGAATGATGTCATTCACGTGTATGCGTCAAAAATTAAGGAAAGGCTGACAAAAGACCTAAGGACCAAGGACCTTCCTTTCACGATTATAGCAGATGAGTATACAGATCCACACTCAAACCAGGAAATCTTATCTTTATGCTTGAGGTTTGTGGACCAGTCAACGCCAAACGATCCTTATGTCAAAGAATGCCTAATTAGTTTCATGCACTTGGAACGAACAAATGCCGCCATGATTTCAAGAAAGATATTGGAATCTCTCTCTGACCCATCTATTTCTTTGGATCCTAGCAACATCCGTGGTCAGGCATATGATGGAGCCTCCGTTATGTCAAGTGGAAAGGAAGGAGTGCAGGCGAAGATAAAAGAGACCAGTCCGTTAGCTCTTTACACGCATTGCTATGCTCACTGCCTGAACCTCTCCATCGCAGCAACGTGCAAACTGCCAGAAGTGCGAAATTTGATAGGCCTGATTAACGAGGCATATCTATTTTTAAATAACAGCCCAAAGCGGCAGCAGCTGTTCGAGTTGACACTGAAAGAATACCTGCCTGAGAATTCTCACAGCAAGCTTCCAGGTCTTTGCAAGACACGCTGGGTGGAAAGACACACGTGCCTAGATGTTTTCCCGGAAATGTATGAGCTCCTTGTCACCTTTCTAGATGCAATTATTTTCCCCAACGAGTACCCACATTTGAAATCGTCTACTGGAAGCTGGAATTGGGACAAAGATACTATCACAAAAGCCCAGGGACTGAAAGCCTCTTTGTTGACATTCCAGACTGTAGTGGTTTTCATTACAACCAAGAATATTCTTGATAAAGTTAAAGCTCTTGCATCAAAGCTGCAGAAACAAGATCAAGATATTTTTGAAGCTTACACGATGGTTGACGAAGTAATTGGAAACATCAAGTCTGCTAGAAAAAACATTGACGTTGACTTTCAAGTCTGGTACAAAGAAATGTTAGACCTTTCTGGGAAACTAGGAATCGTTGAAGCTGTACCCAGAAAGACTAGCATACAGAGGAATCGCTCAAACATTCCCAGTTCTACTCCAATTGACCATTACAAAAAATCTGTGGCTATTCCCCTTCTTGATTCCCTGATTATTCAAATGCAAGACCGATTTTCTGGCGAGGATCGCCACGCCCGTCACTTGCTTTATCTAGTACCCTCAATCATAGTTAATAACTCCCAGGAGCTATCTGAAGCAGCAAAAGCCATGTTGTTCTGAGCTGCGACGATGGCAAACTATGTGGCAGTCAGCAGAGAAGGAACTTCCAAACAATCTTCTATTAGCACTTGGTGCGTGTGACGAGGATACTTTTCCAAACATCCATCGTCTTCTTCTAATTGCATGCACCCTACCAATCAGTAGTGCGGAAGCTGAGCGGTCCTTTTCACTCATGAAACGGATCAAGACCTGCACCAGATCAACGATGTCTGAAGAGCGCTTCTCAGATCTCGCCGTGATCGCCATGCATTACCCGGAGAGATTCGAAGTAGACGAGATCTGCGAGGCTTTTGTAAAAGCTCACCCTAGAAGACTATTTCAGGCTACGTTGTTTGATTGAGGTACGTTGAGGTTCAAATAACTATTGTTGATACTGCCGTCCCTTTCAATCATGCATTATTATTTTTGGGTTTCTGAATGAGAAATAAAGTAAATTCCAGATTTTATATCATGCCTTTACAACGCTTTTTAAGTCTCAGGAATTCTGCTAATGGCATTTTAGAGGGAAAAATCGTAAACATTATGTTTTGGGGGGAGGGGTATGGCTCCCGACCCACTCAAGAGATCGCGCCAGAGGCAGGGGCCGTCACTCGCCTTCTACACCATTGGTGTTCAAGGTTACTTCAGTAGTGTACAACCCCCCCTTTCAGAAATTCCTGGATCCGCCCCTGCTCACCTCGGCTTTTTAAAGATCACCATCACCTTTCAATTTTCGGTTTTATAGACCACTCTAAGGGCAACGAAATTATCTTCTTTGAGAGTTATGTAACAAGCGCAAACAGAGGATAGTGATAGATACGGCAAGTAAGTTGTTAATGTGAATCCACATGGGCGATTAAACTTTGAAACTATCCCATTCCGGTCTAGTCTCGAGTCTGCTCCTTCATCTATCAAATTTTGAAGCCTACTTAATAGTTTTTTTTTCTATGATTTGTGTTGCTGTTATTCGTTTCGTGCTACTAGATTTCAGCACCACTCGTTTTTCTTCATAATTTTGTAAAGGATAGTTTGGAAATCGTCGTCGTTTTTCCCCTTTTTACTGAATATTCTTCTCAATTACGACAGTGCATCTCTTTTGAGCACTACCTTTTTAGAGATCAAATGCATTTTGAACGGAATTATCAAGACTTATGGCGAAACCATGTAGGAACCAAGCGATGGCGTTGTTTACGATGAGTTCCTATTTATCTGTGAAAGAATCAAATTACTCAAACTAGTCACCAACGAAACGGTTAGACTTAGGAATAAGACTTCATTCCTGTTTTTTTTTTTTTTGGTTTGTGTTTATTTAATTTTTTTTTTAACGGATGAAGTTGTTCAAGACTGAATCAAACTAATCGATTTAGAAAGCCGTGCCGAAATCAAATTGATTGTCATTTTATTTCGGAGCGAGAGCATGACTTTCTTGTCTTAGTTTTCACCCGCGCTGATCAGAAAATTTCAACAAAAAATTGCGTACCTGAGCTATTCTCAATTTTGTTTCATCTCTGACTTCAGTTCCCAGAAAAGTTTTCAATCACGGTAAAAACGACAATAACAAAAAATCACACTGAATAATACAGCAGGTAAGCGTCGTGATATTTCATTTTGATAAACTTCAACATGAAGGAAGTTTAATTCATTGATGAATTGATTCATGATAAAATTAACAGCGTCCCATTCTTAGAGTTTTCATACCGGATTAAAGAAATGTATCAAAGAACAGAGCTTTCTTTGTGTTAAGCCTTGCTCAGTTAAAAGTGTAGTAAGCCCTAAAATCTTAGATCCAGCGCTTGCCAGCGATTGTGTTTCCCTTCGGGAATTCAGCATAAATGAAGCGGTAAATGTTCCCAAAATACACCGAATAAACCAAAGGAAGGGAGCAGGTTATCCTGGAAATGAGTTCTGAAATAATTCCAAACAGTATTATCTCGTTTATAAGCACAAAATTTACGCAAATCCTAGGCGTTTTGATCGCGACGGGAAAGCGAGCGTAATGACGTCCTGAACTTGTTGGGGAGAACGGCAACGCTAACACCGGAAGTCGAAATAGAGTGTGTCCAGACTATCCCCGCACTTTCCCGTTCTGAAATGACGTTCCTGTCCTCTTGCTAAATCACTCTAATCGCTCTAATTACGCGCGTCCACATCTTTAGATCAAATCGAACAAGAAATTTCCTCTGCCTCTGCCTGGAGCGAGCCATTCTTAAAGAAATGAATAATCAGAAAGATGTATCTACTCATCATATTATTCATTTCAATATGCAAGGGTATTCTCATGCTTTCCAGTCCACTAGCTTTACAGTGCAAGAATTTCGTGAAGGAAGTCTGCGATTACTGACCCACACGCAATCCTTGGCGGAGAAATTGAATTCAAGGGAAAGATTCAGCTGGAACGAAAATTTTCAACCCGAACTCAATTTAATTCGGGTTTCGCCAAGTGGTTGTGGTAAACGTAAAGAAAAATTAAATAGGAAGAAAAATATGGAAACACTATTGAAGGTGAAACAAAGCAACGTGCGTATCGAGAATAAAGATCAACTCTGTTGCGAGTGCACCATCGTAACGATGCGAAATAGATTACCTATAGACGAAAATGTGGATGGGAAACGGATGTACGAGAATTTACGTAAAGGCCTACCAGTGCAAGAAACTCAATCGCGCGAATTACATCAATTTGCGGTGTGAACGAAGGTTAGCGAATTGGAAAAGTTTCAAAAAGTATTGAATCCCAAGTACCATGATTATTTTCAAGGGTCCTTCAGCGCTTAAGAAGATTTTATTAGTGCATGTAATCGGACATTATCATGGTTGCGATTTGTTTGGAGGATTCCTGAACAAATCTCATTATGTTACGAATGTGATCAAGAATCAGTCCAGATAATTATGAACATAATACTTGCCGAGGAAAGACACGTGTAACATGTCATCGCCGGGATTGTGTAACTGCAAGCCTGAGTATCGTCAAAATGACACATCTTCTCTTCTTCGTGTTGTAGATATCTCTATTCGTTTTATGGAGAATATCGTTTTCGGTACTATTTGACTCGCCCCGGTCCCCGCGTGAAATCTGTTTTTGAACCGTACAAGAAATGTCCTGAATGTTTCAAGGTGGTCGAAACATCATCAAGAAAAAATCGAATGGAGGATATAGAAGATCTCTGATTGCCAATCATCGATGCGGAGTGGCCAAATGTGAAGTCTGTGGAAAATATGTCGACACAAGATGTCACCGGCAGAAGAAGAAAGAAGACGACTAAGGAAAAATAAGAATCTGATCCGAACGTCTTAGATAAGAAGGTACAGAATTGGACGAAGAAAATTTGGCGTTTAAAGATAGACCGCTTTTCGTGTATGAACAGTAGAATCCAAACTTGGAAAAGTAGAATCCAGACTTGAAGAACTTGAGAACCATGTTAAATCCGTGGATGCCAAAGTCTGCTCTTTTTAAACCAAGGTTGAATGTCTTCAATCATTTCAGAAGAAAACGGAGAAGACTGTGAACGACATAGAGAACGGGATGAATTTCGCTGATGCGGAAAGAGAATCCTTCAAGATGAGAATCCAAGAATTCAAACCCAGCTTGATCAGCTCAAAGACGAAAAACTCTATATGGAGGTCTACCAGCGGCGCGAGCACTTACGTTTTTTTGGAATCCAAGAAGTAGGCGCAGAGGAAGACACGAGGAAGGTTTTGGTCGACTTCTTGAGAACGGAGCTAGGTTTGGAAGATGCCGATGGATTATAATTTCAAAGAGTACATCGCATTGGAAAGTGGGAACCCTCCGATGGAAAACCCAGACAAATTATTGCACGTTTCCTGAGATACCCTGTTCGAGAGAAGGTCATGTTTAATGCCAGAAAACTCAAAGGAAAAGACTTTGGGATAAGAACCGATCACTCCGCCATTTCGATGCATATAAATAGATCGATTTTTGGAAATTTAATTCCAGTCTTTTGGAGGATGAAGATTACATTAAATTAGTAACTGATAGATATAACATCTGGCTGGAAGAAAGAATAGGATATCCAAGATCCGAGTGTCCTTTAGGACTTCATGTGGTACAAATGCGCTATGAAACAATTCCCTATAGTAAACAGAAGGCTAAAAATCGAAGGGAGAAACTATCAGTGTTGGAACAAAAAATAAAAAAATACACAGCAAAATGTGATGAACAGCCTAACCAAGAAAAAGTGAGCGAACTGGAAATCCTGCAAACTGAATATGAGAGACAATATGAATATATAGCTCAAGGGGCAATAATCCGATCGAGAATAAATTGGTACGAACACGGAGAGAAAAGCAAATTTTTTTTGAATTTAGAAAATTATGAAAAAAAAAAAAAGCAGTATTATAAAATTAGTGGTCGCAAATGATGAATGCACGACTGATCCGAAAGAGATAATGACGGAGATCCTGAACTTTTATGGAAGTCTCTACGATACAGGTTTACGTGATTGCGATGACATATCAACTGACAAATTCTTTAAGAATAGTAATACTAAAATGCTGACGGACGAGCAGCGGGGGCTTTTGGACAGCGATATTACAAGTAATGAATATTTCGAAGCTTCGAAAAACTTTTCAGAAAAACAAAGCACCAGGAAACGATGGTTTAATCGTGGAATTTTACCTCGGCTTATGGCATCTCATATGGAGGTGCCTTGTCAATGCCTTACATTTTTCTCATGAATAGGAACAACTATCCTACTATCAGAAACAGGCTATGAATACTTTGATAGGAAATAAAGACAAAGACAGACGTTTTATAAAGAATTGGTGATCAATCTCTTCAATTGATTTCGATGTTAGAACTGCATCCAAAGTAATTGCAAGAAGGCTAGAACAAATTCTACCTTATCTGATCCACCTTAACCAGAATGGCTTTATTAAAGGGAGATCAGTTGTGGACGGAGTTCGAACGGTGAAGATGTACTTGAATTTGCCCAATTTACAGGTTGTTCTGGTATGAAAAAATATAATTTTGCAACATACTTTCTTAAGTGGATCAAGACGTTTTATACTGATGTGTCTAGCTGTGTTCTAAACAATGGTTTCACTGCTGATTTATTCCCAGTCAGATGCGGGGTTAGGCAAGGTGACCCATTGTCACCTTTGCTATTCATCCTTGCTCTTGAAGTGCTCGCCTGTCGAATTCGTGAAGACAATGAAATTAAAGGTATATCAGTCAAGGAGGAAGAAATCAAACTAACCCTTTTTGCTGATGACATGACTTGTTTCCTTAGAGATACTGTCATATCACCGTTTAATGGCGACTCTGGAGTCGTTTTCTAGATTCTCCAGCCTCCAGGTCAATAAAGATAAGACTGAAATTTTTGCAATTGGTAGCCATCGTCTTGATCAAAGCAATTGTCCTTATAAATTGCGAACTTCAATTAAAATTCTAGGAATCGTTTTTGACTATAACGTCTCATCGAGGATGAAAGCGAACTTTGAAGCAATTTTAAAGTCTATCAAAAATACAATAAATACATGGAAATGGAAGCGGCTTACGCTTCTGGGAAGGATACAGTTTGTTAAATCGTTTATTATCCCTAAAGTCTTGAGAAAAGCGTCGTTGATTACAGTCACAGGCGACTTAATCAAAGAAGTCAACAGTCTGAGGTACTGTTTTATTTGGAAAGGTAATGATGAAAATAAACGCGCCGCTCTTATCGATGATATCGAGGATGGAGGGCTTAAGATGCTGGATATTCAGTCGATGATCCGCATACAGAGGGTGATGGTATTAAAAAGATTTACAAATAAAGATAATAACAGCTCTTGGAAAATAACATTGAATTACTTCCTTTCTCAGGTAGGGGAGAATTTATATTCTTAAGTATAATTTGATACCAGACAGTTACCTATCTACCTTCCGGCCTTTCATAAGGAGTGCCTGGACGCTTGGTCCATGTTAAGGCAACGTTCGATACTTTCGTATAAAGATATAGTTCACCAGGTGATATGGAACAATAAAAATATTACTGTCCAAAAGATCTCACTTTTCGAAAAACACTTGCTTTCTAAAGGAATTGTTACGATCAGTGATCTCATTCCCGACAATGGAATCTTCTTAAAGGGTGTTAAGGTGTTACATGCAAATTTATCTCCGATACAACATTTTAAGTTAATGAGCGTCGTGGACGCCATTCCTCGCGACTGGAGGCGTGTTATTAGACAAAGTGCCCAACATCTCCCTTCTCATACAAAATGACATAATTTATTTGAAGTTAGAAAATGCTGAGGTAATGTTAGCAAAAATCACGTCCGATCGCTTTATAACGCGTTTAAAAGCAAAAAGCAAATCCCTCCAACTGCGCAAAAAAAGTTCAAGGAAAAATTTCCACAGTTTCCGGTTGACTGGAAGAAAATATACTCCTTGCCTTTTACCGTCACAATTGAAACTAAAATTAGAGAATTCCAATATAAAGTATTAAATAATATAGTATTTACAAACGAAAGATTGTTTTCTGCTGAGATGTTTCAAAGGCTTTCTGGGAAGCTCTCTATTCTTGGCTTGGTAAATGTCAAGTTAACTTTCAAACATTTACAATAATGAATATATTTTTTGGAGGTTTCAATGCGGAAGAGGACTTTATTATTCTAGACCATCTGATACTGACAGCTAAATTTGATATATACAAGTGTAAATTGAATTCCAAGAATCCCTCCATACGAGTTTATAAGGCCAAGATCGGGGAGATATACCAGGTAGAAATGAAGATAGCAGCAAAGCGGAATAAATTAGCAAAAACTTTTTAGAAATGGGATAAGCTTTTGCAGCATATCGGTTTGTGGGATGGGTGTCGTCCAAACAATGCAGAGTAGCATAAGAAGTCAAATTTTATTGTAAAGCATACGATTTCGCTATATACTATTAGTAAGATACTGTAAGTAATTTACTGTAACATATTGAAAGTAGTGTAATATGTGGTAAATAGTGTGAATGTAGAGTATTGTGTTGGTAGTGTAAGTAATCGAAAGTAAATCATCTACTGTAATCAAGTTTATAGTAGAGTATACTTCGTTAGTAGTGTGTTCTCAGTAAATTATTGTAAGTGACGTATTGTAGCTGAGTTCTTTAGTTTATTGTAAGTAGAGTAATGTTTTGTAAAGTGTCAAAAAAAAAAAGAAAGAAGTTACAAAAAAAAAAAACTTTTAACGAAGATCTGACGGAACTCGTGTATTCTCGCATTGCTGAAGATTCACCCAAAGGAAAGAAGACCCCCATTTCCATTGCCGCTTTTATCACTGCACGAGCTCATTTGAAATTGTACGGGTACCTGGACCGATTGGACGACCGTGTCATGTATTACGACACAGATTCCGTGATTTGCAAATGGACCCCCGGACAAAGTGACGTCGAGCTACGAGATCATGTAGGAGAGATGACAAGTGAATTGGATGTCGATGATTACATTAACGAACTCTTGTCTGGTGGTGCCGAGAATTATGAATATGTCATGAGGCAAGAGAAGAGTCTGTTTAAATTGTGAGGATTTACTCCTAATTATCGCGGAAGTCAGAAATTGCAATATGACGTCATGAAGAGAAATGTGTTGGACGAGATTCATAGGCCCCTGGACGAGAGACGTACCATACCGGTAGTGAATTCATGTTTCTTTGTGGGTGGACCCGCAAGTAAAAAATCAAGACTGTAAAAAACGTCCAACATTACAGGTGTGTCTTTGACAAGCGAGTCGTCGATAGAGTCCCTTGTTTCATATCCCTATGGTTACATGAAAATGGATGATGAGGGTACACAGCTCGTTCAGACACTTGTAGATTTATAAAAGAGTAAACTTTAATGTAACGCGAACGAATAAAAGATTACAATGGCAAGTTTAATTTAGTTTGTATTATGTAGCACGCCATTAACAGCTTCTGACCCAGAAGTTTCTTGATGGCTTAAACTAATTTATCGTCGGCAATCCACTTATTTTCTAGACTTTTAGCCTTGGCATAATCGATATTGTGTTGTTTGGCAAATCAATCCAAACGATTGATTCCTGGATCCCCACGAGATAATCTTTTTCTTCAAGTGAGTACCTGGTCTCAGATATTGATAACATTTCTTTTTGGACAACGAGAAAGGATGGAATTCTATTCCCAGCTTGCCGATCTAGTTTTGAATATCGAGTTTGCCTCCTTTCTGTGCTCTTCGTCTTTGTCGTCTTCTCCTTCTTTTTTCGGAAGTGGTTCGATTATAATTCTCCGTATTCTTTGTCCTATATTCTCCGTAAGGGTTCCCGCAAAGGAGCCTCTTCATCTTCTTTCAACCACTCCAATTCCGTTTTCCGTACGCCACCTCTCAGGGGTTCTTTACCTTTTGGCATACTTTCCAGAATATTAAAGAGAAAACTGCTACTCTGCAATTCATCGCGAAATCTGAACCAGAACAGGGAGTGGTCGCGGTCGCTTCTTTTTTTTCTTGATTCTCACAGGTATTTTAGATGTACTGGTCGATTTCTTAATTGGTGTACCAGAAGTTTCAGGTGTCGTAAGAGATTTCTGTTTACCCGAAGGTCCGGGTGTCTCATCCACCACATTTTCTTCTTCTCCTTTTTGTTTTTTTCACGAGGCACCTGTACGATACCTTCTGTCATAGCACTTAACTCGACAAAACTCTTGGTCAATCTTCGTTTTGGAGATAGTAGTTATTTGGTTTTCGTATTGGCAGTGGAGTACATTTTGGTTTCCCAGAACAACGACAGACCCGTTAGCTTTCGTCAACAACTGCGTCAAAGAACCGAGAGACATGGTTTCTTCTTCTTTTACTGTCTAAAAGCTTCGTGGAGTCCTTGTCAGCAGCCAGAACATTTCTAACTCATCAGATGCGTTCTTCTCTTCTTCATTGAATTTTTCATTTTTTGAGTAAGAGAGCTCTATGATTCAAAAGTCTTTCCTTCTTCATATTCTTATTTTCTTTTTACCACCCATTATTATATCGGAATGGATTGATGCAATCCTTGTTTCGTGAATTGTGCGAGAGGGCATATTCCAAATTGTCTTTTATACCCTTGAAAGCCTTTGATGCCAATTTTTGTTTTTAATTTCCTTCACTGTGAATCAAAACATAAGGCAACTAGATAGATTTCTACTTTCAGTTTTTTTGTTTCAACACAGCAATGGACACTATTGCGAGTCTTACTGAACAAGAGGAAGAACGTGAGCTTTTTCAATCGATGGTGACCGTCGAAAAGAGAAGTGTGTAAGCCAAGTCCCGGATAATGTTGTAGTCCTCATGAGCACTTACAAGAACGCGAAAACCAGAAATTTTAGGAGGCAAATACTTACTCTTCAAGCTTATAGATACCCCATGAACTGGCTGAAAAATTCATCTGCCCAATAGCATATTATCTATCTGGGAAATAAAGCAGGCACATTCTCATGCTAATTTACATAGGCCCGGTACTATCCCTGAAACGTCAACAAAGTCGATCACTTTGTAGATTTTGTAAATAGACCTTATTTTTATCAGGATGTTTCTTATGGCAGCAAAATACTTGTCCAAGATAGTGGCGATAGGATAGAGATGTGAAACGTGGTAAGAACCGTGACTAGGTCTACAATGATTGAGCAATACTTGGAGTATTACAAACAACAGTGTCATAAGCCACTGAGTAGGTTCGCGTTGTTCAAAATGTTAGAGATTCGAGAAGCATCTCAGCGTAAGTAACTTCAAGGCTTAGATAATACTCCTGCCGATGGCGCGGCGGGGTTTCAGACACTTGCGACACTGGTTGAAAGCGTGAATGGTGAATAATCGAATGGTCTTTTCGTTTGTTCTGAGCAGGGCTGCATCATGGTGTTAAAAAAATGCAGTGAACTTAAGAGCCATCTTGATATTGGCGAGCACTGCTAAATTCACCCGAAATTTTGATAAAGTTTATAACGGACTTAAAAGAGACTGGGCTGAGAAATTCCTCAGTGTTTACAAAGAGGATATTGACAATGCACCCTTAGCATCTAGTGACGAACAACAGCACTGATCTGTAGCTTGGTTGGGCACTGTATAATCCAAGAAATGAAGCCGTACGTTTCACTTGTGAAGTTAAGCAGTATCTGACAATGAAATTTGATCTGGAAGAGAGAACTGGCATGAAGACAGATCCCGAAAAAGCGGCAGTGGACATGAGAATGGGAAGAAACCCAGATACCTCCCGCATGTTTGAAAGGAAGGACTGGCCAACTAGGACTCAGGTGCAGGGATTTCTGGGGCGGAGGACGTTTACGGAGAGAAGGAGGAGCAACAAAGACCTGAGGTGTTGGAAAACGTGGCCAGCCACCTTGGTCTTCAACACCCCTGTAAATGCGTGACTTTCGAACTTGCGTGACATTTGCGTTACAGTTGGCCTTTGTGCCATTTGATTCCTTTAAATAGTTTTTCTCTCCCGCTTTCATTAATCGCCTGTTCATGTTCGGAGTGCATACAAAGTTAATTTATAAAGTGTTATTTCAAGCCACCGGCGTATAGGGACTGATATGTAAGTTGTTTTCGCCTTTTTGTTGTTTATCTCGTTTCGAGCAAGCTCTTTCGTCCTTATTTGTATATATATTTTGTGTTTGCCGTAGCATTTGGTTCATTTGTTAGTTCTTTTATTATGTTAGATTCATTTACGCTGTTAAGTCGCCACGTGTTTAATTGAATACAATCTATTATATGTCCCTTTTTAATTCGTTTACAGTTTACGAGATTGATTAAAGTTATGTCCCTGTAATATATCCCTGGATTTGGTTGGCATTTTTCTCCGGTCACGATTTTCTTGGTATTTCATCGAGCCTTGATGTTCGTTTGCCGCAACAGTAAAATATCACCAATTGACGCCTTTGGCTGGAATTAAAATTCGTTGAGGATGAGCGATAGTGGTAGTCGATCGCCTCGAGCTACAGTTCGAAAGATCCTCTCATTGGAGAAGGAACAAGCAGAAGTTGAAATTCCGAATGAACCATGCGATTTAAAAGATCTTAGTTTAGACGAAGCCAATAGTCCTCGTGGCAGGAAACACGATCCTCCAAATTTGAGAGAACCGCACGAGCGGACTTTGAGTGACAAAGGCAGAGCCTATCAATTGGAAATTCGCGCTTTAAAGAAACAAGAAGTGGAAAACAAATTGCGTAAACATGTAGGAAGAATTTACTCATTGCTCGACTCCCACCCGGGTACCGAAGAATTAGAAAAGGAAAGACAAATCCTGGATGTAATTAAAGAGG